TTCAGCACTGAGTAGATCATGTTACTGATACAGTACTTCTGCTAAGAAACCTTTCCCTTGGCCTGCAATTTGACTAACAGCTTCACAGACTAGAGATGAACTGATGAATAGATACACATTTTCTAATGTTGGCTGCAAAGTGGCCTTTCACTCATGCAGAATAAGTAATTCCACGAGCGTCAGATGTGACAAAGCCTCCGTTTCTTGCCATTTGTGTCCTCTGATATTATTTTTGTTTGCCAAATTACACAACAACTTTCCATTAACACCACAAATGCATGCAATGTCTTCCCACAGAATATATTGGCAGGGATCCTTGGGCTGGCACGTTCAGCGATGCCAATAAGCCAGAGGGATCAGACATAAGCCAGGGGTGAATTTGCAAGTGTTCATACTCCCATTTCTCATCTACCCAACTGCCTGTTTCTATAAAACTGGTAAAAACATAATTACTTTTGAGACCTCTGCCTCTCTGTCAAAACTGGCTGGAAACAGCTACTGAGTTCAAGAGTCATTAAGAGTGAGGAGAAAGACCCACGGGCTGAAGAAGGGATCATCCCAGGCTTGTTTCCATGGGAAATCAAGACACAAATGTTCAGAAAAAAAAAGTGGGGTTTAGCACAGGCCACAGCCTGCGTGAGAAGAGCTGGAAGTGAGCCAGCCTCACTCCATCAGGAAAAGCTGTCAAGGCTGCTAAGGAAGGGAACGGCGTGGGGGAGATACCTGGGGTCGGCCAGGAGAAGGAGGACGGCTGGAGTTCCCAAAACAGGATCAGCTATTTGCAGCCAAACTCTGCTACGCTGCCCAGATGAATAAAACCCTTCACAGCGGTTGCTGGCAAGGCAGAGAGGGACTCCAAAACCTTCTGACTCAGTTTGGCCACCAGCAGGAGAAGCCCTGGAAATCAGTCCTTCTCAGTAACGTGGTCTCCATCTCGAAAGGGAAAGGGGAAGGGGCAGCAGGTCCTGCACCATCCCTCTCTTGCTCACCAATCCCCAAGCACTCGGTAGCCTTACCGCTGATCTTCAAAATGACTTTTCCCTGTGTAGCTTTGCAGATACTCTCCACGGGGCACAGATGGATGCCTCCTTGTAGGCAGGGTTTCTTTTCATGTGCGTTTTGTAGCTTCCAAGAAAGTGTAAGCTCTAAATAACACTTTTCCCTCTCTTAGGGGTCTTAACAGACATCTCTCCTGGGTAGTGCCTCAGGTATCTAGTAAGATAAGAAATTATGTTAAAGCTTTCTTGTGGAGAAAACTTGGGAACTTTTAACTATTTTTGAGACTTGCGTTGGGTTCAGCCACAGACAGTTTACATAGACCTTGCTTTTTTAGAAATTAAAGCTAAAAATATAGAAACCTCCTCTGATTTAGATTTATAGTGAGTCTCCTGACACTTCCTACTAAAAGCCTGACAAATTATCTATCTGATTTCAGACTAAGCCTGGATAACTCAGAATGCATGATCTGCCTGAGGTTTTGTTTATAATGGCTTGATTTTTAATTTGATATTTTAGGGAAAGATTTTGCAAGGAAAAAAAAATAATTTCCATGCCTGGCTTCTGATTTTTTTTCAAAGTTAATAACACCTGCATTTCTTTGTATAATGATTCAACAGTTCGAATCCGCTATTTTTCTAATTAAAGCCATTAATCTGAAAAGAATATTATGGACAGTAAATCTTTTCTACAAAAATATGTTTGTTTGATAATGAATTGCCTATTACCTGAAAATCTATCCTGTGCTGTTCTGTTTTTCAGCTCAGTACAGCAGCCTGAATACTACACACAAATTTTCTAGTTAATTGTCTGTACAGAATACATTTCCCCCTGGTCTTTTAGAAATGCTTCTGTCAACTTTGGCCCTTCTGTCTGGATCGAGCCTTTGAGGAATTTGTGCATTGCCCCCTGAGTCTGTTCATTACACAGCAAGGGGAATTGCAGGCAAGATAAGTCCTGATTGAAAACAGCATATTTTTGAATCATACATGTCACAGCACCAGTTAGAAGTAAAGTAGGGAAAATGTAGTGCAGCCTGCAGGTTGTCAGTATTTATGCATTCGTTCTACTGATGGTACAACTTCTTGGCTGTCTGCTGCTGAATATCCTTTCATCTTTGTCTCTCCTGCCTGGTGACGTATGCTAAGAGACTTAATCAGTTCTGTCCAGATGGATGCTAATGAAGGAGACATTATACAAAACATTATTATAAATTCCTATTCACATCTCATTTTCTTTTGTCTCACTCTATTTTTAGAGCTGATTTCTGGAGGTGCAATTACAATCCCAATATTTATCAAGCAGTCAACATCTGAAGGTGCTATTTCATGTCCACCCACTCCAATTTTTTTCTGCCAACAGCTGATGAACAAGTCCTACACATATTATTCATCTGTCCCATAATAATATCGACCTCATGCGACATTTATATAAAAAACAATACCAAAACCACATTATGTTTTTAGATATGTGATAAAGATGTCTTCTTGTCTACATACTGGGGCAGCCATTTTTTACAGAGATTATTTGAACGCACACATGGGCAGCAGCACATAAATATTCAGGACAGTGACTGGAAAATATTGCAGGTTCCAATTTCAGGAGACATTAGGAAGGAACAAGTGGTTCTGTGAGATGCTAATAAAGTCTGATTACTGTCACACTTTAATATTGTAGCTGACTGACTTTGGCCCCTAAGAAGCTGCAAGCACCAGTGAAACTATTGTCAGAATTGGGACATTTATACTCTAGCTCTCCTGTTGAATTTTTATGGTGTCAGTAAAGGAAAATGTCACACTGTCAGGGCTTCAACAGGACTTCTCTCACCAGCACCCACGCTCACCAAGTTCAAAGAAATGCAGTGACCTTTGGGATGTCTATCTTTTTGCAAAATAGTTGGACTCGATGACCTTAAAGGTCTTTTACAATCTAAATGATCCTATGACTCTGTGAAAGCGACAGAAGCTATCAAAGGTGTCCAGAAATAATTAACAAGGAAAACAGGCAACCGAATGGGATCACACACAAAGATTGGACTGCCTTGCACAAAACTGTGAAACTGAGACAAAGTGTAAGTAGTGAAATCAGGCCACAGTGAGCATACTTCCAAAGAGTGTACTTGTGCTTCTTTACCAAACACAACTGTTTAAACTCTAGTTTTACTGTTGATTCAAAAGATGACATTTTATACAAAAGAATGGCTGCTCTCATGCTGGGATATCTTTTCACTGCTGGCTTAGAAGTAGATATAAGTCTTGAGAAAGGCAAAAACTTGTATTTTGTGATGCTCTAACTGCTGGGATCAGGGGGAAAGGAAGGAAGAGGGCTGGGACTGATGACTGCTGTGCTCCTGTAACTGTAAGAAAAAAGGCATGCCTGTTTTTGAGGAAAATGACCTCTGTTATTCTGAAGAAAGAGAAACGGGACTACAGGCAATGCTGGTAGCAAAGCCTTCAGTTAAGGCTTCCTGAAAAGTTGGTGTTTTTTCCCTGATTATTTATTGCTTAAAATGTTGCTAGACAGAAACTTTTTTGGCTGGCCTTTCGGCTATCCAGTACCTACTTCTGTTGATGCACCATCACGTCACATGCAGTACCCATCACACCTGCCTGTCTCAAGAGCCAGGTGGACAGAAAGGGTGACGCCACCTCCAAGTTCTCACTTTAAGGAAACCATGTGGTTGTGGCACTGAGGGTGTGTAGTGCCCTTGCCTTGGAAGAGGGCATGGTATTATCAGGGAAATCATCTTGTTGGGAGTGATGTGACATTTGTGCTTTCTGAGAACTGTCCCATATTTGGCCATTGTATGAATGGAGAAATCTTGTCTTGCCTTGATTGTTCCCTTCAAACAGACTTATACTCCTCTGAAACAGCAAGAAGTGCCCTTCTTTCTATTTTAGGGTTGCTATTTGTTAGCTGCTGGCCCAATGGCAAGCACAGGCAACAGACAACATCCCTCCCTGGAAGAGCTGCCAGCCTGACGAGTACAAGAAGGCAACCAGACGAACAAATTTCAGGCCAGAGAATGGCTCTCTTGCAACTTTTAAATTATTCACAAGATCTCTTTGTAAATTATTAAGTTCCCAGTTCTTAGATTTAGCTCTTTGAGTTTACAGGATACGTTCTCAGATGCTCACAGCTGTAGCTGGCAACCATTCATCTCACTCAGAGGACGGCAGCATAGCCCTTCAGAGTTAAGCATCCTAGTTTTGTTTTCTTGTTATAATTTTCTTTTGGCTTCTCTGGTCTTTAAAAGGACAAGTATCAAAGGCAGGCAAGGGAAAGGGAGAGCAAAATACTTACATCAACACTTAACCGTACCTCAGACCACTCAGATTCCCCCACTCATCCCAAGGGCCTGCTCAATCCTCTTCTGCTAAATAGCAAAGCTTTCAGTAGTTCCAGTGCAAATAAAAAGAAAATCAATTTTGGCTCTTATCCAGGACTCAGCCCTGTCCTGGGATACTTTCACTGTCCCAAGTTTGGTGTCTGCAGGCCCAGGGCCAGAGACACCAATTTATATTCCTGCAGTTACCCAGGTAAGAACAGCACCTGTGACATGTTTGTGTCCCTTATTCTCCTTTCATCAACCACTACTGATGTCTGCCCTCGGGCCCATCCTGGTGACTGCTGTCCTCAACACAGATCTTAATCAGTAAAATAGCAAAATTTTGGTGTGCTGCATATCTACATTGCTTAGTTAGTATTACAATTCACCTGAGAGGTCACTGAGGATTATTGTCCCCGTTGGGCAAACCAACAGATTCATGCCAGCTTTTAAACTGTGGATATCACAAGTCACATCATATTTCATTGAAATGATATTTTGGAATCTCTCCCTGCTGGTAAGGGAAGGGCAACGATGTTATCCGTCACAACAATACTGTGAAGGAGAAATTACCCGCTGTTTGTCACTTCCCCACATCTCAAGTCTCCTTTTGAAGTATCCAGTGCTGACAATAGAGAAAGGTACCCTAGTGAGTTAGCTGGACTGTAGGCCTGACCTGGCTTGGCATTTCCTGTGCTCCTGCTTTTCCAGAAGTGCTGAGTATCCACAGCATCCATGAAGGTATCCAGAATTGTGTCGTGCTGGCCACAGGCATGCATAGAATACAACAAAATTAAGCAGGTGAAGAACTTAATCTAAAAGTGTCATGAATTAGATTCTGAAGCTCAGCCAACTGCCTAAACCTAGGCAATGTTGCCTGTTTTCAGAATAAGTTAGCATTTTTCTCTGTTACACTTTTACAATCGACTTTCCCCTAATCCCTACAAATCACAGCTTTTTGCTTCTCCCACTGAAATTCTCTGCTAAGAACTGGTTTTCTTTGGCATGTCTCTCTGCTGTGGATTTACTACCTGGAACTTGTTCCTTGATGTAGGCTTACCTCTCTCTGCCCTTGATGCACATACTTTCCTTGGTGGTCTGGCTTTGCTTTCTTATAACTATTCCTGCAGATGTTTGCTACCCTTCGCCAGGTCTTGTAAGTTTATTCTCACCACTCAAACCCATCCTGCATGTCCTTTGTATTCCTTTTGCACATGTCATACAGTTCAACTTACTTTATAAACTGTGATAAGAAAGATTTGGAGACCTGCTGTGAAAAGTTATTAACCCAGCCCCAGAGCTTCTAAACGGAAACTTTGGTTATACTGCTGTGTTACCTTCCTTATCATTTCAGTGAACTAATGTCACGAACAGGTTTTTTCCCATTTGTTTCAGACCCCTGAAATAACCACCCCGCTACCCACGGCTATAAACCAAATCCCTGGAGCTGTGGCTGGCCGAAGAGAGACGGCCAGAGTTCATGCCCAAGCAGCTTCAGCAATGCTGACTTCAATCCTGAAGGAGCTGAGGAGCAATATGAAGGATACAGTAAAATTTTGGATCAGGCAGGGTTCCTTATTTCTAGGATTTCCTTCTCTGCTATTTTCAAATAATCTTTGTGGGTTTTTTTTCCCCCGACCCCACCCAGGGATAGAAATCTTCATTCTGGAACACTAGAAATATTTTCCCTGTACCACCAGAGGAGCCTGCATTTGCCTGTGGACACATCCTCAGCAGGTCCCAGCTGTGCCGAGTGAAGATCTCACCCTCCCTTGCTCGCACTCAGTTGCTTGTCGTTCCTCTTTGATGGAGGGCGACACGCTGATCAGGTAGCCAGCTGAGACAATCTGCTCCCTGTGAAAATAAGAGATGGGCTAGCAAAGACCGAGCAGTTAATTTCCTTAAGCTGTCTGACTGATTTACAGTGTCTAGGATGAATCAGGGACCGACTATGTGAGCAGTGCAGCAGGCAGATCCAAGGAGGATCCAAGGACCCTCCACCTGGCAGGAGGGTGGTGACAAGGAGCTCTCTGCCTTCTGGGAATGACAGTCTCTCGAGTAACACTGCTGAAACAAGATGCGTGTCCCCAGCACCAGCAGTGCCCCATCAGGCAGAAGCAAAGGTTTGGAGCAAATCCACTGTTTTGTCTCATCTCCAGTCTTCTTAGTAAAGCTTCAGTCTGCTAAAGAGAGCCAGGCAATGGCAGACATTTGCAAGGAGGCTGCAGTCCTCCCACTCTTTCAACAGAGTCAATTAGCAGTTCCTCCCCAGGGCTGCCAGGAGGCTTTCTGGTCTGTTTGTACAACAGTAAACAGTCTGAAAACCAGAAAACAACATTGTCATGTCAGTCAAAAGCTGGCATCAACAAGCTGGTCTCCCACATCTAAACAAAGCCATTTTAGGGCCTAACTAAATTTTGTTTATCTTTTGTTAGTTTTCATTTATTTTCCACAGTTTTCCATTTTTTAGATGCTGACGGTCAAAGGCAGATCATAACATTTGCACATATTCAGTCTTTAAAAGTAGAAGAAAACAGGGAGGAGGTGCTTCTGAAAACATCTCATTTCAGGTTTTCATATACAGACATTTCAGATATGAATTAGTGCTCCTGTTGGACCATAATCTGAAACACCTCTTATTATAAGCAGTCAGAAGAGTTCAGAAATAATCAGAAGCCCAGTGATTACAGCATGAAAACACTTGCATTTACTAAACCATCTCATGTCCACACATTCATGTTTGTGTCATGATCTCATTCTGTAAAATCCTCAGCTTCTATTGAAATTGTTAAGCATCACAGAGGATGCAGAGTATCACCTTGAAGAGCAAAGCTTTTAGCTTTTCTCACTTCCAAAGCTGTATTGTTTGTTATTTGACACAGGAATCTTTTGCAGAGCTGTGAATCGATCCCACTCAGAGGCTGACCTTCACTTTGTTCAGACAACCAGGAAGAGGAATAAATCTACAGGAGAAACATAAACTAAATTAGTTTTATTTTCTTCCGGGTGACAGAGTTCATAGACATCGTTTATTTCCACCTTCAGGCTACACAGAAAATCATTGCCAGGCAGGCAGCTACAGAAGCTGTGTGCTTAGTAGCTGAAGAGCACCCAGGGGAGATGCTCTCAGCCTTTCTGGGACAATCCCTCCCCTGTGATAGGTAAGTGTTTGTATCCTCAGAAAAAGAGTATGAATGAATTTGCTGGTCTTAAGCAAGACTCTACGTCTCCAGACTGACCAGATAGGAGAACTGTGGTTTGCCATGCAATGGAGAGTACTCTAGAGACTGATTTATGTGCAAGACAGTGTGCTAAGGTTAAAACAGAGCAAAAGAGAGCAGAAGTGCACAGGATGTTGTAGAATCATAAAATGGTTTGGGTTGGAAGGGACCTTAAAGATCATCTAGTTCCAGCCCCCCTGCCATGGGCAGGGACACCTCCCACCAGACCAGGTTGCTCAAGGTCAAGATAAGCCTGCCAACTTTGCAGTGATTCTGCCTCAAGACTCATTTTATGGGGCAAAAATGGGAAGAAGCAGATAGCTGAAAGTCCACTTCTAAATAACTGCTCTCAACCTCACCTGTTCAGCACATTCAGTACATTTTTTTCAATTTACAGCCATTCAACCGAACTGGCAGTGTCAAAAGAAATGTCAGTCCCCAAGTTCTTGCAGAGCTCCATGTTAAAAAAAAAAAACAAAAAAACCAACCAAACAAAAAAAAAAGACATTGCTTCAACAAGTTTGAAAGCTGTGAATTAAGTCACAGCTTTGAGAATCGTGCCTCTCTGCTACCTTTTGCTGTAAGAACATGCAGGCAGGCATAGGACACAGAGCTGCCTTCTTTTATAACCAAAGGCTTTTGGTACAAGCCTGAGGGAGTATCTGTGGATTATGTATGGCCGCTGTAAAGCAAACCAGGAGGGAATCTCAGAGCTATGAGGAAAGGGAGAGAGCATGAGAGAGCTCATGAGGGTCTCTCAAGAGGGTTTGGGATGGAAGTTCCATCATTCCCATGACAAGCTGGAAATCTAAAATCTCTGCAAAAAAAACTTTCTTGTGTTTTTTATGTTTGCCCCTCATAACAGAAAAAGTTAAAAAAAAAGTGACCTATAAACAGAAACTTTGAAAGAATATCTGCTTGCATTAATAGACCCAAGTGACAGACGTTGGCTAAAGTCTCCTCCCTTGACTCCTGGCAGATGAAAAACAAGGATTCATTAGCGACACTAGCAGAAGACCTGATCCCAGAGTGGCTTCAGACAGTGCAGACCAAAACTGTTTGGAATTTTTTTTTATTATTAATGATTTTAGTCATGACTTAAAAAAAAAAAAATCAAGCAGGAACAATCAGGATTTTTGATCTTTTCTTTCAAGGTCTGATAATTTTTCCTTTTCAGGCTTCTATTTACCTTAAAAGATAGGAGCATTTAGGACTGTTAGCTAAAAAAAATCAGTGTGCTAAGAAAACTGAAAAAGGGATCGTGCGACTTTGGCAAACACAGCTCTGTCTGTCTAAGCTTGCAGAAATATGTGGTTCAGGGTAGTCATAGAATCATAGAATCATTCAGGTTGGAAAAGACCCTTGGGATCATCTAGTCCATCCACTAACCCCACTCTACCAAGTTCTCCCCTGCACCATATCCCTCAACACCACATCTAAACAACTCTTAAGCACATTCAGGGATGGTGACTCAACCAACTCCCTGGGCACTCTTTCCGTGAAGAATTTTTTCCTAATGTTCAGTCTAAACCTACCCTGTTGCAGCTTGAAGCCATTCCCTCTTGTTCTGTCACTAATTACCTGGGAGAAGAGAACAGCACCAACCTCTCTACAATGTCCTTTCAAGTAGTTGTAGAGTGTGATGAGGTCTCCCCTCAGCCTCCTCTTCCTCAAACTTAACAGTTCCAGCTCCTTCAATCGCTCTTCATAACATTTATTCTCCAGGCCCTTCACCAGCTTCAGCACCTCTGCACTCGCTCCAGCACCTCGATATCTCTCTTGCATTGAGTTGCCCAAAACTGGACACAATACTCCAGGTGTGGCCTCACCAGTGCTGAGTACAGGGGGACAATCACCTCCCTACTTCTGCTGGTCACTCTATTTCTAATACAAGCCAGGATGCCATTGGCTTTCGTGGCCACCTGGGCACACTGCTGGCTCATATTCAGCCGCTTGTCAACTAGAAGCCCCAGGTCCTTTTCTGCCAGGCAGCTTTCCAGCCACGCTTCCCCAAGCCTGTAGCAATGCATGGGGTTATTGTGGCCTAAGTGCAGGACCTGGTACCTGACCTTGTTGAAGCTCATACCGTTAATGTTGGCCCAATGATCCAATCTATCCAAGTCTCCCTGTAAAGCCTCCCTATCCTCATGCAGATCAACACTCCTGCTTAACTTGGTGCCATAGTCCTTTATTTTCATTCCACATCTACCACAGTTTCTTCATCTTTTGCTGCATGGGCTCTCTCTTCACTTAGGCTACTAATTTAACATATTGGCAAAAAAATTATTTCCTTTTGGACTTATGGCATTGTCTTCTTCAGGCAAAAAAAACCAAAAAATCTTTCTGATGGGTGCATTACTTCCTTCCTGTAGAACAAAAAAGTTAAAAAGCAATCATCATAGTTACCTTAAAGCCTGAAATTTGATCAAGAAAACCTCAAGCCATCCATCCTCACACAGTTACAGCAGTGGAGCTAATGGCTGTACCATTGCTACCTGACCAGTGGCAATTGTGATTGCTGGTGACAGCTTCCCTCTGCTAACTGTCAGGTTGAGTGACAATAACGTACAATTTGCTGTAGCTTGGGAGAATAAAAAAGTGTATTTATTGCAAAGACAGCAAGATTATAGTTTAATAGTTAAACTAGTTAATGTGTTAAATTTCTGTCCTTTTTTTCCCCAGACAGTAAAAGTCCTGTGTATAATATTCCATAATAAGGAATGCAAAGCGCCTATGGGTGCTTTTTATGTTCCGTATTCATCTTCCTGGTCTTTCAGGCACATTACTTAGGGAGTCTCCCAGTGGTCATGTATGGCTCAGAGAACAGATTGAAAGCATCCAGTTTTGTGGTAGTTAATTGTTAATGTAATGGATAATCCTATTTTTACGAGCTATGGAGGAAGACAGTTCATAGACAATAGTTTGAGATCAGCTCCAAAAATAAGTTGAATGAGGACGTTCACAGTAGCACAGCTGGTTTACAAAATTTTCTAACAGGAGAGTCTCCTGGAATTATTTTCATAAAGGTGAGTGGAGTAATAAAGCCCCAGGGTAGGTAAATATATATGCTCTAAATACGAATGCAGAAGACACAAAAGAAAACCTATCAGCAGAAGGTTGTTTGAAAAATAGGATGAGAAGTGGTTAGTTTTCTATTTCTTCTCCAAATGCTAACAAAGACCCAACATATCTGTATACTTGTAAAAAATCTCTCCTGTTGCCTGTCTCTCACTTATTCTACATTCAGAGCTTATATTCTTCTGTCTTTTCTGACTGTTTTTCTGGTAGCAGAGTTTATGTACTAAAATTCAATATTTTATTAACAAAAATATGTAAAAGCATAAGATGCTGCAGTAATGGCAATGAAATTAAAAGACAAATGCAATTAGCATGGTAGATCAGACTTGGGCTAATCCAAGCAGATAGGCATGCTTCACTGAGACTTGTAGTTGTTTTCAATTGTGCTTACCAGAAGTTGAGAAGAACCAAAAACCCCAGAGACACTCAGCTGACATCTGGATATCCTGCTGGTTTGCCTTCTTGCTTCTTATTCTGGGGGAAGGAGAGACATGAAGTGAAGAAAATGCAAGGAGAGTAACTCCAAAAGTCACATTCATCCTTTATCTTTAATAATGGGCAGCTAATCATCAACATGTCTGCTACGAAGCAGAAAAGAAATGGGAGAAAGGCACAGCTTTCCTAGCCATAGCACGATGGTTCAAGGCAGTACAAATCTGAAGTAAACTGAAATTTCAGTGGAGTCACAAATAGACTCGAGTCACATTCTATACTGGGATATTGCAAGGCACTTTATTCAATACCATGAAATAAATAGGACTGATAACCCGACTGTACATGCTGGGTGTTAGCAGAAGAAATAATGAATGTGCCAACATGGAAATAGAAAGAGCAGCTGTGCTGATTCTATTAGTCACATGTAGGCAGGATATGGTGCCAGGACTCACAGCACCAAAATCACCTACCCCTCATGTCTCAATAGCTGTGAACATTTGGGTGTATATGCTTTTCTGTTTCAAGGTCAGTCAGCCCTTTGTCAGTAGACTGTTAAGCTTTTGGATAGATCTAATCAACATGAACCCTGCAATTCCATTCTGTCTAGTGCATTACCATACATTGATAGAAAAAGTAGAACCCAATTCGTATTAAATTTGCTAGAGCGGAGAGCCCGATTTGAAATGACAATGGAACTCTCATTATTTTACTCTATGCCTTGGGCTACTCGTGCAGGCCTGCCAGCTGATTACTGATGGGTTCACCTTTTGTCCTGAATCCAGCTGTGCACCTGACACTCTGAAAGCTACCACTGAACAGGATAAATCCTCCTTGATTAAATTCAATTAACCATGTTGAAATGTTTATCAATATCAGAAACTTACCTGGAAGGTGTTCTTCTTCTAGCTTGGCAAGAGAAAAATGTTCTGAATTCATCTGGTTGGACTATGCAATTTACTAGCTGTGTAATACATCCTCCCTTGGATTATTCCTTCCTCTCTAACAGTAGGAGCAATCATATTTATCCTACAGATCACTGTCAAGTACTAACACAGACTTGATTTTTCCATTTTTACCAAGGCACTTCCCCTCTTGCACCAGTGGGTGCTGAAGCTGACCATGATGACCTTGGAGGCTGAGCCTCCTTCCTGTTTTGAAGACCTGGGGATATTTGAGGGTTAATGCTGTCAGTCTTTCTCAATAAAAAAAAAAAAAAAAAAAAAAAAAA